CGGCTTCGTCTCCTTCGGAAGGAAGGCCTGGCTCCTTCCAGCTTTCTCCCTCGGTCACTTTCCAGGTGCATTGTACTACAATCCCCCCCCCCCATCTTTTTTTTGGAGGGGGGAGCTTTCATTCCACAGCCACGTGCAGCCGCGAGCTGTCTCTCGAGGATCTGCGCAAGCGTCGCCCGCGAGCCTGCAGCTCTGACCTCGTGAGCCCTCGGTCCCTGACCCACCAATCCGCATCAGCAGCTCAGAGCCGTTCTCCGGCTTTTCCCACCAAGCCTCTTTCCCCCAATTTCTCCGTTCACACGCGCAATCTTAGGATGAGGAAGGTTCTCTTTAATTACCAAGCCAAGTCGAGGACTACGTGCAAGAAATCCGCGGTGTCGTTACTCGCGCCGATCTTCCTTTCTCAGCCGCACCGTTTCTACCCAAGGGCACCCTGTACGCAAGTCTTTGTAACCGGTGCCTCTGCAACCAAACTCCCTGATCGTCTAATGTACGTCGGCCAATCAGACGCTAGATAGAAGTAAGACTATTGGATAGTCGTGGTGCCTATCACCAACTAGCAAGGTAGATTGAGTTTCGAGGTATGTCTGATAAGCCGGTCTGGTTTTGCGCAATGGGCAAGGACGTAGGAAGGGAGTCAGCTACGCATGCGCATTGGGTCGTTATAACAAGGTCAAGATTAGCTGAAGCCGCTGTCCCTTTCACGATTTTTTTTCTTAAGGGTCATATGTGAATGAGCTCTTTTGCCGGCAAAAAGTGACGTAAATGGGGATTCCGCCCGTAAGGCGAGGAACTTGCTGTTCTTTTGGCGGCAAATTGGGTGATAGTGCAATGGGTGGGCTACCGGAAAATGATGCAATCATCAAACTGCTGAGATAGGAAAACTTCTCTTAACTTGCACATTCAGAGTCAATTATTAAGTTCGATGTACTGGAAAGATATATCTGGTTTGTAACACTAGATTGTGGATATTGTTTTATTTTATTCTGTCCAAATTGGTAACAGCCATCAGAAAACCTTGGATGTCTTGTAAAGCTAAGCAAAATTGAATATAGTCATATTTGGACAGGAGACCACCAATGGTACAGAGCAAAGCAGACAGTCAGGAAATCATCCTAGTAGGAAGCAGTGACAACCAAGAAAACAGTATGGAAGTTGTTATATACTGGGACTCTACAGTTGAGCTTGATTCAGAGCAGACTTTCTGTCTCTTCTGTTACATCTGGAGAGTCCATATTCACATCCACACACCAGAGATTATCAGTCCTGCGCAAGTGAAAACACGCACTGGGAAAGTTTTCAATGACCTGAAGGGACTGGATACATCTACGTAGCCAATAAGAGTGGACATGTCCTAACCAGCATGTCACCATCACAGTCAATGTGTGACACCACAAACAGCATACAGATTATTTAATGATCACTTCTTCAAGAATTATTGAAACTTACAATGATGCTGAAATGAGTACAGTTACAACTAATCTTTATATCGGTTGCAGCATTCCTGTAGTCATGTTGCAATCCAGATACATGGTGCTGGGTTAATAATTATGATTTCACAGCAACCTGCCTTCATTTGATTGTCATTTGCAATCTTATGATATCCTCGTTTAATTACCTGCAGTGATTCATTTAATAATGGCAACATTATTAAGTAGTAGTGGAGTAGTGGAATTTGTGTTGCTTAGCAGTATAGTCATGTGATATCACTCTTTATGACTGTGTCACTTAGTGATGGAAATTCCATTCTCAATTATGTTAAGAGAACTATCTGTAGAGCCACCAAGAGTCTTGATCATGAAAAATAAATATAATTAAATAACAAGTCTTGTACAAAGCTACAAAACTTCCATTTATTTTTCCATGTAATTATAAACTTAGGTAGCAGCTATTTGAGATGGAATGAGATGAGGGATAAAAGGAATAGTGAATTACAACATCCAGTTATCATTAGTAGAAATGTGGAACAGCCTTTATTTAAACATGTTTATTGAAACCAATGTATTTTCTAACCAATGAATGAGCTTCATTTCCATATGTGTGTATACTGTATATGTGTACACACACACACACACACACACAGAGTATATATGTATGGATTACCAAGAGGAGATTGAGAGTTTGATGAAATAGTGTCATAAAAAGTGTGGTTTTAAATATAGGAAAAACAAAAAAGGTCATTGTCGATTTCAGAAAAAGCAGGCACAGCCATACACCTGTGTGTATTAACAAATAAACTGTGGAAGTGGGTTGGGAGTATCAAGTTTCTGGGTTTGCAGCTGACGAGCAGGCTAACTTGGTCTCAGTAGTGAGTCACTAGTGAAGCGGTCACAGCAGCGTCTGTATTTTCTGCATCATATGAGAAGAGCACATTTTCCTTCTATCATTACCACTTTCTATAGATGATTGAAAGCATCCTTTGTGGTTTGGAAGTATTACTATTTCTGACAGGCTGTGCAGATAGTGGTAAGGATGCCAAAGGAGATTATTGGAAGCTCACTTTTTTCTATCCAGGACATAGCATATAAGCAATGCTTGTCTAGGATCTGCAGTATTGTCAGTATTTTCATGACCTGGGAAGAGGCTTTGTGGTATCTGAAGCAGAACAATTAGATTATATAATAGCTTTGTACCATATAGTATCAGCCTTGTTACTTCTCCAGACTCTTTTCTGCTATGAATACAATATAAATTATGATTGTGTGTGTGTCTGTGTAACAATGGATCAGTGACATCAGTGAAAAAAGTCAACCAGCTAAAATGCATTTCATTCAGTATATTTTATCCTGAGCTCAAAAACTGGGTCAGGCATGTCTTGTACTGTGCAATTCTTTCTGGAAAACTTTCATACCTGAGCAAGAAAAAGCCATCCTCTAGATCCATGAAATTTTGAAAATGACTTGATCTTTGTGCTACTTGGCAGGTTTATTTCTGGTGTGTCAAATGTGCTGTTTCACAATCTTTGCAATTCCATTTTACAACCTAGTGGATTCTTCCCTTCAAGACAACTCATAAGTATACGGATTCAAACTCATACCACTAGAAAATTTATTTTCATCTAGATGATCAGAGGTGGTATTCAGCAGGTTCTGACCAGTTCTGGAGAATCAGTAGCAGAAATTTTGAGTAGTTTGGAGAACTGGCAAATACCATCTCTGGGCCTCAGGCAAGCCTCCTGGGTGGGCGTTTTTGCTCCTAGGTGGCTTCCCTAAGGCTCAGGAAGGAAAACAAATGGAGCCTGGATGGGGCGCGCAGCACTTCCTCCCACGCTTCATTTTGGGACCTTCTGTGTCTCAGGAAGCCTCCTGGGGGGCATTTTTGCTCCCAGGTGGCTTCCCTAAGGCTCAGGAAGGAAAAAAATGGAGCCTGGAGGGGATGCACAGCATCCCCCCACGCTTCATTTTGGGACTTTGTGCTTCAGGGAAGCGCGATTTGCTCCCAGGAAATCAAAAAATGGAGGTGGTATCTCCCCCTCCCTCTATTTTTTGCCTTCCTGGGCCTCAGGGAAGCCTCTTGGGTGAAGCAGTAAGTAAGCAAGGGAATTCCGGGACAGCTGATCGTAGGAACAGCTGATTGTCAGGTGGGGAAAAAAAGAAATACCTTAAGGAGTGACTGGGCGGGGTGAGTGTCAGGCAGGCAGGGTGAGTGAGCATCGGGCGGCAGGGCAAGTGAGCGACCGGTGACCGAGTCAGGGGCGTGGCCAGCCAGAAGTTACTATTGGTTCGGCGACCCACGTCAAATCCTTGCTACCGGTTCGTCCAAAGCAGTGCGAAACAGCTGAATACCACCACTGGTATGGAGGGAATAGGCTTTCGTATTTTGATTAATCTCATGAGAAAAGAAAATCACAAAAAATCCACATTAGAATACTCAGCAGAAAAAAAAATGTTTTTGGTTAAATGAGGAAAGGTGAGGAGTTATAGATTACCCACAGTCTGCTGTGGAAGTAAAAGCATGTACCTTTTGGGGATTTCATCTAAAACACAGATTCTCCAATCTGATGCCTATCAGCTTTTTGGACAATACAGCATTTCCATTGCAATCCTCTGGCACATATGGAGTTTGCCAGATACAGGCAAGTTCATTAGCAGGTTATGAATAATTTCAAAATATTAGTTCTGCAGCTTTCCTAGCATAAGATGGATTTTAAAAACTTTCTAATACTGGAGTGCTGTCAGTTCTGTAGCTAAGATTCTTTATGCTAACCAGCAAATTGATATGACCAAATGCAGAAGGTGGAAAATTTGTTTACAAAGAGAGAAAGCATACAGTATATATTTGAAGCAGCTTCAGTTACTTTGAACTGGCAATTTCCTATTCATGGATATGGCATGTCAAATTAAGCTTGCTACCTGGCAACAATGCCACTAGGGCATGGATAGTTTAAATCAGGGGTGTCCAACCTTGGCAACTTGTGGACTTCAACTCCCAGAATTCCTCAGCCAGCAAGCTGGCTGAGGAATTCTGGGAGTTGAAGTCCACAAGTCTTAAAGTTGCCAAGGTTGGACACCCCTGGTTTAAATGCTCACAACTGCAAGTCTGGACTAATGTGTCATGTGATCAGGGAGGGTTCATTGCACATGGGTGTTGAAACAATACATGTGTCTGGATTATCTACCTTTTACTATTATAGAACACGGATTCTGATGCAATATTTGAAAAGTGGATAGCATGATTAAAGGCAGCTAAGTGATATTCCTATTTTACAGAATAGGAACACTGAGGGTGAAAGACACAAACAGTTAAGCACAGCAATTTCTTTACTTGTTGTTTATAAAGTCTTGGGAATATGCAATTTTGGCAGACTGCTGCACATTACAGAGGCCTGCCAGTGTATTCTAAATCATCCCTATATTAGAGGATATTGAAACAATTCCATATTAATAAATCATTAAACTTAATAAAGAAAAATACAAAAAAATAAAAATAAAAAGACCAATTCAGTAGTGGAGTCTGTGGCTGAGGTGTTTATAAGTTCTGCTGTTTGAGAAGATGAGTTATTACAAAAAGAAAGCATGAATGCCCTGGAATTTATGCTTTCTGCCATACCTGTCATGATCCCTCAGGTCTCTTAGTCCCCGCCTTGTAAGATCATTCAAGTACTTGATGGCTTCTCCCTTTGTAAAAGAATCCTGGATATCAAGTAATTTTGTCTGAGGTCGAACCATCCCACAATTAGGCATCCAGTCTGAGGATGGATTGCAGCTTGTTACAAACTCTCCAAAATTAGAAGCACATTCAGAATCTGGTTTACTAGCACACCTTTCACACTTCAGTTGTGTTGAGGTTGAGGCTGGCTTACTAAGAATGGCAGGATTATGCCACACAATATATCTGTTTAAATGGGAGGGTTGCAAATCTTCATAGTAAATGGATTCGGCGGGCTTTAGAAGAAGCTCTGGTTCAGGTGGCACTGTAAGTTGCCTGCGGTACAATTGATCTGTTTTCCAGGTATCTGTAATTTTCCGAAATCTCTTCGAGAACAGTTTCTTATCTTGACCGTTTTCTTCCTGGCAAGTTGTTTCAGGCTGAATCCAATTGTACAGCAGGTAATTGTCCCTTTGACTAGCTTTGTTTTGTGTATCCTGCTGAAGGGGACTCAGGGATCCTTTCCCTCTATTCTGCACTTCCTCTGAATGCCAGGTTATGTTGCAATGGTCTTTCGAATGAAGTGGTGACTCGTAGTTCTCTGTAGCATGCTGATGTTGATGATGTGAGAGCCTGCCTTGAAGGGTACGAGCAATGCGTCCTTCCAAGGGCCTTACTTGAGACATTGTCGAATGAAGGGATTCTTTCTAAAGAACAGATGAAACAGAACTAATTCCCAGGACTTATATGTACAATGATGCACATCTGAATACGATTTTTGGAATCAAATAGACCTATATATTCATTTCATATGAGCAACCATCTCAGTCTAGTGATTCTTGGTGTTTAGCAATACAGAAAACATAAAGTAATACAATATAAAATAAATCAATAATACGACGCAACTGAGAGTTGTAATAAGTTATAGTTCACTACAATAAGGTTGAACTAACATCCTGGCACCAGTGCTTGAGGGGGAAATCAGGTCTTCAAGGACTTCTGGAAGATTAATAGGGTCACAGTCATCAAAATCTGGGTGATGCTGTTCCACAGTGCAAATGCAGCAATAAAGAAGATAGGGCTTTTGAGTCCCCACTAGATGAGAGTGTTTAACAGAAGGACCCAGAGCATGTTCATTTTGCCATGAACGATGGAAAAAGAGGTGGTCTGGAAATGCAAATGATTATTGATATCAACCATGATATGCTCTCAATAGATTTTTACATGCAATTCAAGATATCATCTTGATATCTTGAATTGCACATGAAATACACAGATGATATCTTGAATTGCACATGAAAATCTGTTGGGAGTTAGTTCTTTAATGGCAAAGCAGTGATGTTGAATGCTCTTCAAGGATAGCTCCATATAGAGCATATTTCAACCATGCAACAAAGTAGTAACTAAGCATGGCTGATTAGAGGCAGGGCCTCCTGATTCAGGAAAGAGTACAATAGGCAGAGAAGGACTGATGCAAAGTCCTAGCTACCCATATTATGTACTGACTAAGCCCTTCTTGCAACAGAACTTCAAAAACAACCCTAAATTCTCTCTGTAATCCAACCAGTCCATTAGGTGCTTGTGGTGGACTGTTCAAGTAATCGTTCTACCCTGCAAAGAAGAGCGACCACAGAGTATTCCAAAGCTAATGTGTGATTTTTGCTATGACAAAATCCAGATCCATGATACCACTTTCCATACTTACAAGATCCACATTTTTGCCCAGTTCTCCTGTTGCTCTGCCAATTAACTTGGCATTATAGTCATCCAGCTGCAATGGGTTCATACGCCCTCTACCTAAAAAAAAAAAAAAAGACCTAAATTTTATTTTATAATTTTTATTCTTTTTAAACAAATAATTTTCACTTGAATACATTTTCTTTTTTTATCCTCTCTATTCTTTTTGGAAGATACAAAAAACCAGATGATTATCTGAAAGTGTTTGTGATTTATCTGCTAACTTGAACTTTAGTACTTTAGTTTAATACTTTAGTTTGATAACAATGTATACCTGTGTAGTCTCGCTTGTATGTAGATAGCCAAAGAGCCTTCTTTACATTTTCTAGTATATTGGCAGCTCGAGGTAAAAGATCAGGTTCTGGAGGCTGGAATGTTGATTTAGGAGTTTCATCTTGGTGACTGATTCCTTCAATGATCTGAGATTTGGCATAAAGATATAAATAACATATATTGACAAATGACTTCACTTGAAGCCATATTGGGAATGCGTACTGCTTCTTCATTGCTTTGGGAAGTAGCAGTTTTTAAAATTAAATTTAAAACATTTAAAAATCTAACAGGATGCTGTATATATTTTCCATCTCACGTTACCTCTATTCTTTTTTACTCTAGAATAAGTTCAGTATAATTGATATGTAATGTTTAATGAAAAGTGTATTCATTTTTTTTCCTTGCTGTTCTGAATAAATTAGACTTTCAAATATTCCGGTATATGTTGACATTTAAGAAAATGTCAGTTCCACACATACAGAAACTAATTTGGATTGAGACTACAGACCATACCAAAGGTTAAAACACCCTGGCTTTCCTTCTAGTTCCTGTTTCAAATCAAATCAGGAAATGAAAAGGGAAAGAAGGGGAATAGTTTTAATAGTGATATGAAAAGTCTGTTTACTATAAAGTGAAATACCCATCAGATCAAAGGTAAACAACTTGGGGTTCTCCATGTCCTTTGGACCACAACATTCCTTGTCATTGGACTAGGCTGGCTGGGACTGATGGGAATTGGAATCCTCAATGTCTGAATGTGCCAAGTTGAATGCTAGAAATGTGGGGAAAGTGTGGTTTAATGCTGAGCTTTGCATGGCAAGAGAAATACGTTCTGCTCACTCTCAGGCTGCTCCTATGAAGGTTGGCTTGAAATCAATTAAACAGGCACAACATTTCTGATACTTTCTGTAGAAACTTTCTATAGAAGAACTAAGAAGTCCCTGCAAAAAAATTCCAAGGACAGTTGTATATCAAAAGCGAATCCTATTTACATTTAAATAAACATTCATATTTTTGAACCTCTTTCTTCTAACTGGACAAACAGTCTCTATTTTTCTTTGATCATGAATAACATATTTAATACCGTATTAGACTGTTTTCCTCTGATTTACTTTCACACCTAAAAGCCAAGCTAATTTTCTGTGAGTCTTGTCCCAAAGGAATTGCCATCCATGCAAATATTCAATTGCAAAGAAGACATTTTTCCAGATGAAGTGTGGTGACTGTTTACTAGACACCATAGTATTTCCTGCAGTGAATTTCAGCAAAAGTACAGGTATGCAGGTCTTGGTGTGTTCGGGTCTTTTCCCGTGTAAGATTGAGAGTATCTTGGCAACGTTTCAACAAGGTCCCACTCGCCATCTTCAGGCTGGTGCGTTCGGCTTCGTGCTTGTGCGAGCAAAGTGTGATCGGAGCTACCGTCTCCCTATATATACTGGTGGGGAGGTTGGCTGTTTTGTCAGTTCTTGATTGGTTGATGGATTTGATGTTTGCAGATTGGCTGGCTTTTTTGTAAGAACATGTGTGGCTGAGGTATTGGCTGTGTGTCTATCGGCCTCCTGTGTTGTAACGACCTGGGTAATGGGCTGTGTGATGACCTTCTGAGTTCTATTGTTTTGACATCCTGGGTCTTGTGCTGTAATCTCCTGGGTTGTAATGACCTGGGTCATGGGCTGTGTGACGACCTTCTGAGTTCTATTATTGTGACATTCTAGGTCTTGTGCTATAATCTCCTGGGTTGTTAGCTGTGTTGTGACATCCTGAGGTTTTGTGGGACCTCGTCGAAACGTTGCCAAGATACTCTCAATCTTACACAGGAAAACACCCGAACACACCAAGACCTGCAAGGAAAGGGAAAAACTATTGAGAAAATTTCAAAAATAGTTATAAGATATGGATTAGAATACATAAGATAATATGTAATTGAGCTTATGTCTGTATGGAGAAGTGATAATCTGGGAGCATGCTGTTCTCAAAAAAAAGATATTTTATTTGTACTTGTACATATGTTTTGTGAAAACCCAAATAAAACTTTTAATAATAGAAAAAGAGGGAAGATGATGAAATGAGAACTATTATGGAAGGATTAATGTCAGTTGCTATAATTAATTAGACTAATATTTTTATAATGTATAGATGATTCATAAGGTAATTGAGAAAATCTAATGTGGAATCTGACAAAAAAGTGTGTGTGTGTGTGTGTGTGTGTGTGTGTGTGATATAGTATATAGTTATATAGGAGATGGTATCAAGGTAGATTGAAGGTGGCTGGCTCGCATTAATAATCAGAGGGGACAATTTTGAATTAAACTAAGGACTGATAAAATTCCAAATATAACAGATAAAGGTAATTTGGGAAGTGAATATAGAAATGAGATGAGAATTTTAAATAACATTGTAAAATAAGATATGAGAATACTCTAATGAATGAAAAAAGTTATGAATTGGAATTGGATAAGTTTAATACTTAATACTACTAAGGTTAATGTGATATGAAAATTGAACAAACAAAATGAATAGGCAAATATGGTCATGTTTGTATTGTATTGAAACCTGGAACTATACTGCTTGCCAAATGAGATTTTTTTTTTAATTAAAAAAAATTGAGGATATTGAATAATGAAATTATTAGGTATGTCTAACTGATATGGTGGTTGGCATTAGGAGAGAGTATTGAAATGTTGAAAATAAGCAAGGAAGGATTTTGACTCAATATGAATGTGGATATTAAGAGATTATTAAGCTTGCTTATACTAAAATATATGATATATTGATGCAATACAGTTAATGTATTGTTGTATATGTGTAAATTGAAATAAAAAACTTTTATTAAAAAAAAATTCTGGCTTTATATGCATTTGTTCTTAAGGTCTGATCGTTTGTGGCCAGAAATAGCCCTCATTTCTTTCTTCAGTTTTCCTGCTCTTAGCCATTGCTGGGTTTTGTTATTATCTGATTTACCTGTTGTTATTTTTTTAAATGTACTATATTATTATTAGAATTTTGGTGACTTTGGGTCAGTCTTCATGACTGCGTCAACAAGTCTATGCAGTTTTTTTTGTAATATATCAGAGGTAGCTTTCCATTAACCTCTTTCCAGGATTGAGAAGGAGAAAAAGAAACTGCCCCTAGTCACCCGGAGAAGTTCTGTGTCTCCCAAAGATATTAGCAGCTTTTTGATATTTCAGGTTAGGCTTAGTGGGAGATATATGATACTGAACCTGAGATCTGAAACATGCACGCCATGTGTTCTGCCACCAAGTTTATGCTATTTTTCAACTACTAGTAATAGTTACTTACTGGTGCATGACGTGAACATGTCACAGCTTCTCTATAGATAGATTCATTGACATCTTCCTTTTTATAGGGGCCAACTGCAATGTCAGATGAAAACATTTCATTATAACATGACATTCATGAAATTTAGCTTAGAATCCCTATGAGTTCTTCCCAGACTAGCACAGAATTGACATTGCTTTTGATATTCTTCCATTATACTGTATGTACTTTTTAAAACTACCATGAAAATTAAAACAAAGGCAGTTCCATTTCTCTGGCTTTTCAAAGAAAGTTCTAGATGTCTGATTCTGATTCTAGAGGACTGTTAAAATAATTCATTTTGCTGCAGACACAAAGAGATGAAGACACTGAAACTGTGTGTGCATGCTGAATAGACATTGAAATACTCTTGTGAATAGGAAAAGCAAGAGAATGACTACAGTAATAGGTTATTCAGTGAATGAAAAATAATGTCTACCTCTATCCCTTTAAAGCCGTGAAACCACACTACACAGGTGGCATGCAGAGCCATTTGTGCCGGCACAGGAGCTGCAGGCAAACTTACCTCACTGCGCATGTGCGCACCTCACAGCTGATTTTCAGCCTCCCAAAGACTTAAGGAAGGCTTCTACAAGCTTTGTAGGCCGAAATCTAGCCCCGTTTCATCACTTCCAGTATTTTCGGAAAAATAGGAAGTGATTAAACGGGGTTAGATTTCGGCCTACAAAGCTTGTAGAAGCCTGCAGAAGCTTTCCTCAAGCCTTTGGGGGGCCAAAATAGGCCTGAAACCGGCAGAAAATCAGCTGTGAGGCGCATGCAGGTAAGGGGGGGGCATGCATTGCCCTCTGGGTGCTGGCGCGCGAGCGTGCAAGCACGTGCACAGTTTTTGGCACAGGAGTTTTTGGCACAGTTAGCCACCACTACTTTAAAAGGAAAAAGTATTTCTACATTTAAAAAAATATGGCAATAGAGGCAGATTAGTTTCTCTATCTGTTCTTCTTTGGGGGAGAGGATCAGAGGTGGTATTCAGCAGGTTCTGACCAGTTCTGGAGAACCAGTAGCAGAAGTTTTGAGTATGAAGAACCGGTAAATACTGACTGGAGATTTTACAGTATCCTTCCTCTGACACACCCACCAAGCCACATCCACAGAACCAATAGTAAAAAATTTTTGAATCCCACCACTGGAGAGGATGATTTCCTTTCAATAAAATAGGACATTTTGTTATAAATTAAACACAGGAAATGGTTCATGGTATTTTTTATGGTCAGAGAACTTTGCACATAACTAATTTTAGACTTTCCAGCAGCATTACTAACAATTAATGTGGACTGTAACAGTTACCAAGCTGGACAATAATGCAAATGTTATTTTTTCTCTATAACACTATTTTAAGCTACAGTCAAAAGATGGGGGAAGGGGAAACCACACTACAGCAAAATCAATGAACACTAAGTATATAGGTTATTCAAAAGTATCTTTGTAGGAAGAAATTCCCAAAAGCTAATCTTTAAATAATATTTTCTCTGAGACATCATGCATACACAGTCTCTTAAGCATTATTTTAAGTGAATCATGTTCATATTTCATGGATAGTAAAGATAACTAAAGTCAGTGCAGAATAATGCATGTTGCATGTTGTTGCAAAGTGTTCTGTATTGTACATTAACATTCTTGTAAACACCGCGCCCTGATTGGCCAGGGCGCACGGCAACCGGATTGGCTGAGCGAGCCACACTGATTGGCCCGCCACGAATCCCTGCGATTGGTGAAAACCGATCGCGGGAGATTCGAAGCGGTGTCATTGGCCGCGGCCGGCGCGGCCAGTCCCATATAAGCCGCCGCCGATCCTCAGGACCCCGAGTACCAAAGTAACAATGCTCTCTGAAACATTGCATAGCTGCTTTGAAAAAATTCTCTATTTTCTGCACATATGCATGAATAGACCTGCTAGAATTTCCAGTGGAGCAGTTTGCTTGTTCTCTAGTGAATATTTAAAACACTGCCCTGTAAAAAGGGAAACTTGCTTTACCTTGGATGTCAGTGTTGCCATGGACATAAGGATGAAAAGGACGAAATCGGCCCTCTATGAGTAGAGCACCTGGTGCCTTATATTTTAGATGCCTTGCACACCTAAACAATATAGCAAATACTTTATAAATATTTGGCAAGAAAATGAAACACATTATTTAAGAACATATCTTATTGGTTTCTATAAGTCCTGCATAAATGATTCTTCTTCTTCTTCTTCTTCTTCTTCTTCTTCTTCTTCTTCTTCTTCTTCTTCTTCTTCTTCTTCTTCTTCTTCTTCTTCTTCTTCTTCTT